CGCCCGGCCAAGGCAAGTTACTTCTATAGATGGGTGCACCCTTGCAGATGGAGCAATGGTGAGTGCACAATTAGACAAGGGAGGGAAAGGAGTTCTCATCTCTGATGTATGTGGTCCCTGCTGCTGTGTCGTTCCCCTATTGGCTAGGGTTAGACCGCACAGGCTCAACTAATTCCAACTGGCTAATTTAAAGAGAGTGACGGGGTGAGTGCTTTGGTGGGAAAAATGGTTATGACAGAGCGGATAATCGGAATGAGTCAGGGTGGAGTAGGTAATTGGAATGAGTCAGGGTGGAGCAGGTAATCGGGATGAGTTAGGGTGGAGCAGGTAATCGAAAAAGATTGCTTTATGAGGAAGTTAAGTTTAAAAGTAGAAGGCAAAGAATTGAACATACTGACATATTGATTATTTGAAAAGAGATTTAGAACTCATATCTAACAGTAGGACTCCAGGTGTAAAATAATCCATGAGAACACATGAATATTTGATGCTTTTATTTCTCACTGTGTTCCAGAAAGGATGTGAGGGGGCTTAAATGTTTTACTGACATGAAAACACCCAGTAAAGTAGTATATGCACAACTAAAAAATCAACGAAATTCTATTATACATTAAATTAATAATAATGGATACTATGCATTTGAATATCCACTTTCCTGTGGCAGGATGGTTTGTAAAATATGAAGTCTTTTTTGCTAGCTCATGCATTGAAAATCCAATGTTCTTGGCTTATATATTCAAAAGGAAAGGCCCAATTGTGATGTGGAAAGGAGAACAGATGGGTGGAGTGGATATTGTTGCAGTGCTCACTGGTATCCCCTCTCCTGGACAGAGGCACCCATTTCCCAGCAACTGCGAACAGCAGGTATCTCTCAGCTGGGTCTGTCATCAGAAACTGCCCTCAGCCACAGGGAACTGATTACCTTCCGCAAGGTAAGGCCTCACCCCCTTCCTCCAAGAAGTGGCTTGTGGCCAATGACTGGGCAATGTGGGGATATAAAAGCCCAGTCTCCTTGTCTCAGTTTGGGCCAACTCTGAATGGCCATCGGAGTTGGAGCTGCAGTTTACAACACACTGGGGGGCAACTTCTCTTTCAGCCCATAGTCCTGCCTTTCTCACTTCTGGAGGTTAGCTGGAGGTTACAGAGAGAGAGAGAGAGAGCAGGACTCAAGACTGGATGAGGAGACCCACCATCAGAAGGTATGGTGTGGACAGTTAAGGATGCAGCTGTGTCTCATGGAGACCATTGTAGGCAAACTTCTGAGACCCCATCGCCCCACCCTGGTTCCAAGTCCCTGGTATATATGCACCTAGAAGCTGCTGTGATGGCATTTTGCTGATGCCATTAAGTTACCACATCAGTTGGTGTGAAGACAGGGAGACGATCTGTGGGGAGGGGGAAATAACCTAGTCACATGATCCCTTTAAAAGCAGTTTTCTCCCTCTGGCTACAGATAAGGGAGTCAAGTTTGAAGCCCACGGAAGATTTGATGCAGCCTTGCTGGCTTGAAAATGGAGGGGTTCATGTGTAAGGACGTGGGTGACCTCCCAGTTGAAGGCCAGCAAGGAAACCAGGACTACAGTCTCACAACCAAAAAGAATCGGATTCTGCCAACAACAGGAATGAGTTTGGAAGTGGATTTTCCCCCAGAGCCTCTAGAGGACTTTGCTCCCTGAGCAGTGAAGCCAGTCATGCTGTGCAGAACTTCTGACCTACAGAACTCTGTGCTAACAAATGAGTGTTGTTTTAGTCTGCTAAGTTTGTGGCAGTTTGTTACACAGTAATCAAAAATTAATGCAGAGGGGGAAAATGAAATAGAAGGAGCTCAGATAAGCTCCTCCCCACCACCACAAGCTGCATTTAAGTGGATCACACCAGCTCCAGGAGTAAATCAGGGAAGGTATGTTCTGAATGTGATTAAAATGGAAATTTCACTGCATTTGATTACATTTATCTGAGGCTAGGTTGAGTTTTCAAACTAAAGACAGAACGGGAGGCCTCAAGTTAAAAATTGGTAAAATGAAGTTACATTTTTATGCTTTTGAATCTATGACCTGTGAAATTTATACTCACTGTTATTGGTTGCTGAAAGTGGTTAAGACTGTCCTTGCCTACAATTTCCACGGGACAACACACATTTATTTTGCTTTGTTGCAGACGACTCATGTGCATTTTCCCTCGTGCCTGGATCTTCATTGGAACATGGATTAAAAGACTCAAAAGGGAAACATCTACCAATTACAACACGTGAAGCTTCATATAAGTTTTTGGATCCTGATCCAAAAAACCGTCAGGAAAACAAATTATGAGGTAATGCAGAAATTTGAACCTGGTTGAATATTTTATAATGTTAAAATTATACACACACACACAGACACACATACAGATATGGATATATACATATACAGCGAAAGGCTTGTAGGTGAAATAATGTAATGTCTGTGATTTTCTTCCAAATAATCAGAGGTGGAGGTGGGGGATTGGTGGGTTTATAGATGAATTGATCATGAGTTGATGATTGTTGAATCTGGGGTGGTGGGTTCCTGGAGGTACATTGTATTTGTTCATTATGACAAATATGTATTTTTAAAATTTGGTATATTTGAAACTTTTTGCTAACAAAAAAAGAAGCCCATTTTGGTTTCTTTCTGATTTCGATGCCTGAAGCCACAGCCAGGCCATGCCCTGCTGGGCACTAGAGTCCCTCAGCAGGCCCCTCCTCACCGAGCAGGAGCTATTCAAGGCACAAAAGGCCCTGCCGTCAGCTCCCTTCATTTCTGTCAAGGTTTATTTGCAAAATTCCCACTACTCTTCTTTTATATCATCTCTTTTCTATTTCCAAACTCCACTTTATGCTTTTTCTAATTATTCCCAAGAAAGAAGAAACTTGATATCCGCATATGTTGAGACTAAAGATTGCATTGCCGAAAGGGCATACAGAAATAACCCAAAGATAGAATTCTTTTCAAGGAAAGTAGCTGGGAAAGGACTTCTGCCTTATGTTTCTTTAAAGTAAGGTTATTTAACATAGGTCTGAGGAAAGCATAGTGGGCCACATTTTGTTTTCCTGCTGATTGCATTTGAACTGAGAAACAAAAGTAAATAAAACGAAAAGTAAGCTCCTTGAAAATATAAATTTAATTTGTTAGACCCTATTGGAGCAGGGCAAAGGAAAAGTCTTTATTATGTAGTTTATTTCCAGTTGATTAACTGTAAAATAGCTAAAGTTTAACCAGAAGCCTAAAACTCCTACGTAGTTTGAAATATCTGTGTTCTAAGATAGAACCATTAGCAAGGAAGGCCTTCTCAGTACTGAAAAAACAGCAAGAACTGTCCCTTACAATAGCATCAAAAAGAATGGAATGCTTGGGTATATTTTTAACAAAAGAAGTACAAAACTTAAATGCTCTGAAGGCTACAAAACATTGTTAAAGAAGACCTAAATAAATAGACACCTCATGTTCAAGAATCAGAACACCTAATATTGCTAAGATGGCAACACTCCCCATAATGATCTGCAGAGTTATTTAGTGCAATCTGCATCAAAATTCCAGCTGGGTTCTTTGCAGACATTGATAAAATCATCCTAAAATTCATATGGAAACGCAAGAGACTCAGAATCGCCAAAATAATCTTGAAAGAGAAGAACAAAGTTGGAAGACTCAATTTCCTGATATCAAAACTTACCATAAAGCTATAGTAATCAAGATAGTGTGTTAGTAGCATAAGGAATGATATATACACCAAAGGAATACAATTGAGAGTCCAGAAACAAACCTTCAAATTTTCAGTCAATTGATTTTCAACAAGGGTGCCTAGATAACTCAATGGGGAAAAGAATAGTTTTTTTAATAAATGGTTCTGGGACAGTTGGATATCCACATGTAAAAAAATTAAATGGATGCCTTACCTCACATCATATACAAAAATTAACTCAAAATGGATCAAAGTCTAACTGTAAAAGCTAAAACTATAACATTTGTTAAAAACAATAGATGTAAATCTTTGTCACCTTAGATTAGGCAATAGTTTCTTAGATATGGCACCTAAAGCACAAGTAGCCAAAGAAAATATAGACAAATTGGACTTCATAAAAATCAAAAACTTTTGTGGTTCAAAGGAGACCATCAAGAAAGTAAAAAAAGGGCTGGGCACAGTGGTTCATGCCTGTGGTCCACACTACTCAGGAGGCTGAGGCAGAAGGATTACTTGAGTCCAGGAGTTTGAGGCTGCAGTGAGCTACAGTCGTGCCACTACACTCCAGCCTGGGCAACAGAGCAAGGCCCTGTCTCAGAAAAAAAAAAAAAAAGACAACCCATAGAATGGGAGAAAATATTTGCACATTGATATTTAGAATATACAAATAACTGTTAAATATCTAGGATATACAAATAATTATAAAAAGACATACAACCCAATTAAAAAATGGGCAATGGATCTAATAGACATGCACCAAAGAAAATATGCAAATTACCAATAAGTGCATAAAACGATGCTCAATATCATTAGCTATCAGAGAAATGCAAATCAAAAGCACAATGAGATACCACTTCACTCACACTAGGATAGCTCTAAGCAGAAATACATATAATAAAATATGTTGGCTAGGATAAAGAGAACTGGAGCCTTCATATATCATTAGTGGGAATATAAAATGGTGCAGCCGCGGTGGAAAACAGATTGGCAGTTCCTCAAATGGTCAAATATAGAATTACCATATGGTCTAGCTATTCTACTCCTAGGAAAATACCCAAGAGAAGTGAAGACATATGTCTACATAAAAACTTGTAGATGAATGTTCACAGTAGCATTATTCATAGCCTGGGGGCTAGTTGACTACTTATAAGATGGCTCACTTGTAGGGCTGGCACATTGGTGCTGGCTGTTGGCTGGGAGCCCAGCTGGGGCTATGGGCCTGAGGACCTGGGTCTCCTCTCCGTGGACCTCTCCATGAGCTGTTGAGCTTCCTCCCAGCAGGATGACTGGGCGCTGAGAAGGAGGAACATCCCAGGAGACAGCAAGTAGAAGCTGCTGGTTTCTTAAAGTCTGGGTCCAGAAACTGGTACCATAACTTCTGTTGCACTTTATTGGGTAAAGCAGTCACAGAGCCTAGATTCAAGGATAGGGGACAATGGACCCCAGCTCTTGATGGAAGGAGTGTTAAAATTTTGATGACATGTTTTGTAACTTTCACACCCCATGGTGATTTTCAGAGCTGGGATTGAATCTAGTTATGTCTGACTTCAGAGTTCAAAATCTTAAAAATTCTGCTTTGCATTTCAAGTAGGAGGGGTGAGAGACCCTGGGATGGAATAATGAACAGGCTATTTCAAATAGAATTCGTTGGTATTGAAAGGGGTGCTTGTTATGGCTATGCTACCCTGCTCATAAACCAGATCATTTTGAAAAAAGTGCTTGCAATATTTATGGCAAATTTCAATGATGTCACTTTAATGCTGAGTTTCTGGAGTGGGAAGGCCGCTTACATCAGAGATGAGGCTATTAAAGAACAAACAGGAGATGGGCTTGTTTTCCTTTTAGCAACAGATCTGTGGCTAGGAGTTGCCATTAGCGGTAAAAGCTCTGTCTTTGCTTTGGTTTAGGCAGAGAAGAACATTCTCTTTACTGCCTTAACTCAACACCAGGTAACTCAGCAGGACTTTAATCCTTGGGCTACAATCAAGCCACTCAAACCCCCATTATTCCACCTGACAGATGGGCATGTGTCAGCATGATTCAAACTTGGTAGCACATCAAAACGGGGAGTCAGGGCTTCATTCAGCCGTTGGTGTTAAGATGCAAATAGAATCCAGCCTCTTTTTTTCTTCTATTCTGTCAGTGTTCCCAAAAGTTGCTGCCCACAGGATGGGGAAATTCCAGCCATCGCCTACATTTGATTTAGAGATCTTGGATTTTGATACCCTAGAGATGAAGATGTGCATAAGTCACAGCTGCTAAAAGATGGGTCTAAGAGAATACAACATGGCAAATAGGATCTTGTTGCCTGGATAATAAGAGATGTTCCTGAGTGAACCTGTGTAGAGGGACTGGAGCCTTACCATGGAAGTGACCTAGGGAGTAGGTCCAGGGATGCGCTATCTTCCAATGGTACCCATTAATAAGGAGAACATGGTCATCTTTGCTAACCATAAAGCTTATTTTCTAGAACAAGGCATCCTTACTGGGATTTCCAAGAGCCATGATCCTGGAACCACACTGGGATGACCCCCTCCCAATGCAGCACGGCACAGGCTGTATCAATCCAGATGCTTCCTCCAGGTCCTCATCCTTGGAGTGGTCCAGCTTAAAGTGCTCTGTGAGGATAATTTGCAGAGTGGCTACAGTCTTTGGGAGAAGGATGACTGTCTACAGACAGTTCTATTACAGTAATAATCAAGAAAACTACTTTATGGGATGACTGCAAGGGGTTGTGCCCCTAGGACTAGGAAGGACGAGGAACCTGGCATAGGACAGAACCGTCTGTCAGAGGGCCCTGTGACAAGGTTTTTCCTTCTACTGTGCCCTGTTCTGAGTGACCAGAGAACTACCAAGGAATATTCCCAGAGTCTGTACCTGGCGGAGCTGATGATGCAATTCGCTGCAGACTTGCACAGGCTGTAACTCTTCCACCTCTAATGGACCAGACGCCATTAGCGTCATCGATCCCTGGGCAGGATGCAGACTGAACCCCTCCCTGGCTGATTTATGAGAAAGGTACTGAGACAAGAGCATCGACAGACTGGCTCCTGGGGTGTGGTCCAGGCTGTGGCTGGAATCCTTTCAACACCAGCCTTTCATCAGGAGCAAAGACCTCAAAAGTGAAGAAGAAGAAAAAAGCAGAGAAGTCGAGGCCGACAATTTGTCATCAGCTGGCAGTCTAAGACAGCATAGGTAGAAAAAGCAGCCTGGAGGTTTAGGAGCACAAAGCTGGTAGAATGAGGACCATCAGGAGAGCAAAGGTTTAGGTGAGCAGCTCATCTGGAGAAGTCAGGGTCAAGAGTAAAAGCTTAAAGGCATCTGGTGGCCTCTGCCTTCCCACTCCTTGCAGATGGAACTTGCCTGTCATTTTCAGATCCAGCCCTGCAGAGTTCCTGCATCAGTCCTCACTGACAAGACAGTATTTCAGCAGCAATCTCAGTCCCTGACCCAGGGGATTTAGAATTAAGTCAGTGATCTGGGATACAGAGGCCTGGTCACAGTGGGCAGGCTCCCTCGTCTCTCTCAGGTATGATTCTCTTTTGCTGCTCTGCTGGCCCGAGCCCCAGAAGAGGTATGCTGTGTGCTGCCAGATTGGCCTTGTACATGACTTT